GGCTAATTTTTTCTATATATTTTTAGTTGTCCAGCTAATTTCTTTCTATTTTTAGTAGAGATGGGGTCTCTCTCTTGTTCAGGCTGGTCTTGAACCCTTGACCTTGAGTGATCCTCCTGCCTCGGCCTCCCAGAGTGCTAGGATTACAGGCGTGAGCCACCGAACCCGGCCAAGCACTGGTTTCTGAGTTAGAAAATCATTGAGTTTAAATCTTAGCTCTGCCCCTAAAAACTCTACAAGTATTAGCAAATTGATAACTCTCTCTGAGCCTACCTCCCAGGGTCGTTGTGAGGATTAACTGTATGTGAAAGCTTCAAGTATGGTGCCTATAATAGATCATCATTTTCTCTTCTTCTTTCCTGTGAGTTCCAATTTGTACTATTCAATAAAACCTAGGCTCTCATGTTATCAAGGTCTAGAATTGGATACCAGGTCAAGAATTTGTAGAAGCACTGCGATCTTGAAAGCAGTAGAAAATACTGAATGATGAGAACATAGCGCATAGAAGAATCGTGGTTGACCAGAAGTACCAAAGAGAGATGTTTTGCATCAAGTATTATCTCCAGGGCAGTAGTATATTTCTGTGTATCCATGGCTATTCAGTACATGCACGATGACTAATTTTTCTAGTCTGATTGGAAATGAAGGGGAAACTGGGGAACAAAAGGGATTCAGTAGCTCTAAAAACACGGGATCTGTCGAAGCTGAACATGGTCGTAGCATGATACAGCAGGGAAAGCACAGTTAGGAGTCGCTCTAGCTACCATTTATAGAGCACCGCTGTCTACCAGACACCCTACTGGTTGCTTTGCATACACGACCTCTGATCCTCCTCACAACTTCCTCATCGTCTCCTTCTTACAGAGGAAGAAACTGGACTAGGCCACATAGTATATCCCGCATAGACCCTACCCTGGTACATAGCAAGTGCTCAGTAAATACTGGAAAGGAATGAATGAATAACATGGCAGAGCTGAGATGTGCTCTGACTTCACAGCTGTGTGCCTTCCACCACAGAACACACCCTCCTGGAGCCCGAGCCAGCACGGCAGGAGAGAGAAGGAAGGAAGGGCTGGATGGAGGAAGCCTGGAGCTGAGGCACCAGGGCAGGTTCGTGGGGTTTGTGGTGGGGCAGGTGGGTGTTAGGAGAAGAGAAAATCATAAAAGAGAAAATGCAACCCTTGCTTTAAAATAGAGGACTATGGATGAAAGCTAGAAAGGCCGAAGGTTATCAAGACCAATTGTTTTATAGACATCAGGGGAAAATCAGCATTTACGTCTTGGGTTATGTAAATAAGTAAGAAGAGCTTATTCAAGCAAACGATCACACAGTGCTACAAACAAGACCGCTACGTGCAGAATCAGAATTTTTGTGAACTTAGGTAGTGAGGGTGAATCTTGCAGTGTTGAGTAGCCACGTGGTGTTGACTCTCAAAGGAAGGTTGCCAAGGATTAGAAGCAGGAGACCGTGGGTTTAGGAAGAAAAAACACTTGGCATTGGCCTGGCTTTGGCGAGGATCAGTAGCTTTCTTATGTACACCTCCTCAACAACAACTGAAATATTTTTATGTTTTTCAGGTAGTTACTTCCTTTTTAGTGCATGTCTGCATTATTTTTGTCTTAGCATCTTATTATATTCAAATCAGAGAGCAGTTTTGAATCTAGTTTTGAAAGCAAAATTGGAGGAAGGACAGAAAATTAATAAAATTATTCAGGAGGAATAATTTCTGAAAAAAAGATTAAAACAGAATAGTCCAGTTTCGCTAAAGAAATACCCACCCACCAGCATTTAAAAGGGGTGTACATGGTGGAAAGTTTGAGAGAGGCATATAATATTACTTCACAAATCATTGCATCTAAGAAGAAGGGGGTAAGATTAAGAAAAGAAATGCTAATTTGAAATGTCATTGAAACTGATTTCATTCCATCTAAACATGGCGAGGTGATGAATTTATGCTTTGAAAAATCTATCCGGCTTCTGAAAAGATTCCCACATGGGAAGTCACGTAGAATAGTGCAAGTATTAAATTCATCTCCCAGAAGAAGAACAACATCCATTTTGATATTTAGCTTTCTGGTACCAGATATGTTCATCATGTTCCAAAACCAGTTTTTAGAGTTATTGCCAAACATGTAGAAGGGATAATCGAGAAGGAGAAATAGTGTGATTCTGGGCAGTTCCAGTGCATTTGAGTGTGACGGCTGCATTTAACACATTCTTGGAGCTGATTTTTAGTTTGCCTGTGGCGTCTATTACAGGCGAGCTGCAGAAGACTCATAAAGTACAATTAAAATGCACAGGAAATAAAACAAACGTAGGGCAAATTACATAGTCAAATATACTATTTATAATCAGTATACAATGTACTAAATGAGCTTCCCAGGCAATTTGACTACCTATTTGAAGTTAAGTGGGCTTTCTCATCTGTCCCGATAGCTGCTGTGGCAGACAGACTCTAAGATGGTCGCCAGTGACCCTGCCTCCTGGTATTCATGCCCTTGAGCAATCTCCTCCCCTTGAGTGTGAACAGGACCTGTGATTTGTGGATGTCACTTCCATGATGACATTACATAAAATTGTCATGTTCTTTTCGCTAGCAGGCTCTTGTCCTTGCTGGTTCTGACGCACGCTGCCACGTTGTGAACTGCCCTTTGGAAAGGCCCACGTGGCACAGAACCGAGGGCAGCCTTAGGCCGACAGCCAGCCAGGGACTGCGCCCTTACTCCATCAGCCCACGGGACCCGAAACCTGCCCGCAGCCGTGTGAGCTTGGAAGTGAAGCTTTTTCTAGCTGGGCTTTCAGGTGAGACTCCGGCTTTGGCCAACACTTTGATCGTAGCCTCTTGAGAGACCCTGAAGCAGAGGCCCCAGCTAAGCTATGCCTGGATTCCTGACCCACAGAAATTGTGAGATAATGTATGTGCATGGTTTTAAGCTGCTAAGTTTGTAGTCATTTGTTATGCAGCAGTAGATAACTATGAGTAATATACCTATCCATGATCGTCATGCATTCATTCATTCCTTTGTTTGTTCAACAAGTATTTTAAAATATGCATCAGGTCCTGGGCATATGCAAAGCACTAGAAAACGTAAGAGACATGGTATATGTCCTCAAAGAGCTTAGAAGGGTTCTGGGGGCTTAGGTGTTAACAACTAGCCATCCTTAAAACTAACTAATTTCAGTTGGGTTAGGTGCAACAAGGAAAAAGTATAACATGCTCTAAGTGTGCATAAAAAAGGGCCTAATTCAACCTGGAGGCCCAGGGAAGGCCTCCTTGAGGAAGTGACAGTCAGGCAGAAACTGATAGTATTAACATAGGTGGCCATTCCAGGCAAGATCAGTAAGCAGGGAGGGCTTGAGGTGAAAACAGAGGCAGGGGTGCAGGGGCAAGGAGAGTGGCCGGAAGGGAGGCCGGAGAGGCAGACAGGGGCCAGGCCCAGGGTGAAGTCTTTAGGAGGGTTTTAACTAAGAAGGGGCACAAACAGATTTGTATGTTGAAAGAGTCAGGCACTGTGGCCGCTTTAAAATTTATATATGAAGTCTGTGAAGAGCTTGCTGTTACTCCAAATACTGTTCTAAGCACTGCACGTGTATTAAAACACTTAATTCTCA